TGGTTGAGGGGAAAGAACATATGGTGTGTAAATTAAAGAAGTCAATATACGGACTTAAACAAGCTTCACGGCAATGGTATATTAAGTTCAATGATACCATTACATCTTTTGGATTTAAGTAAAACATCGTCGATCAATGTATATATCTGAAGATTAGTGGGAGTAAGTTTATAATTTTAGTTCTGTATGTTGACGATATCTTGCTTGCTACTAATGTTCTTGGTTTATTACATCAAACCAAGGAGTTTCTCTCTAAAAACTTGGAAATGAAGGATTTGGGTGAGGCATCCTATGTGATTGGAATAGAAATATTTCGTGATAGATCACAGAGACTGTTGGAATTGTCTCAGAAATCATACATTTACTGGATCCTAGAGAGATACAACATGGTTGAATGCTCTGCAAATGTCGTTCCAATTCAGAAGGGAGATAAATTTAGTCTCAAGCAATGTCCAAAGAATGAATTGGAACGCAAGCAAATGGAACACATTCCTTATGAATCTATTGTTGGAAGTTTGAATTATGCACAAACTTGTACCAGACCAGACATCAGTTTTGCTGTCGGAATGCTGGGCAGGTATCAAAGTAATCCAGGAGTAGATCATTGGAAAGCTGCAAAGAAGGTACTAAGGTATCTGCAAGGAACAAAAGATCACATGCTCACCTTTAGGAGATCTGATTACCTTGAGGTGATTGGATATTCAGATTCAGATTATGTTGGATGTGTAGACACCAGGAAGTCTACTTTTGGCTATTAGCTCCTTCTAGCCGGAGGGGAAATTTCATGGAAGAATGCGAAGCAGTCTGTTATTGCCACATCCACTAGGGAAGCTGAATTCATAGCTTGTTATGAAGCTACAAATCATGGTTTATTGCTGCAGAATTTTATTTCTGGACTTGGAATTGTTGACACTATCGCCAAGCCGCTGAAAATTTATTGTGATAATTCTGTAGCGGTATTCTTCTCTAAGAATGACAAATATTCGAAGGGTGCTAAGCATATGGAGGTGAAATACTTTGTCGTTAAGGAAGAAGTTCAGAAACAAAGGGTGTCGATCGAGCATATTAGCACACAACTTATGATTGCTGATCCATTAACAAAAGGATTGCCTCCTAAGACATTTACTGAACATGTCGAAAGGATGGGGATTATAGAACGTCATGACTAAAGTTATTTTATGTTTCATGGATTGACACTTTGAGCTCATTTATTTTGTTTCTGGAATAAAGTTATGAATATTGTTTTATTTATTATGATCAGTATATATACATTATGCATTATGTGAACAGTGTTAGTGTTGTGGTATATGATCCACGATTGAACCTCTCCCAACAACTCGAGTTATTGGGATCAACTGGTTCTTGACATGGTATCAGAGCCTTCTGTGACCGAGAGGTCTTGTGTTCGGTTCCCGGTGACCCCCATTTGTTAAACACATGGTATTCTTGTCTTCAGACCTGTGCAAACTTCAAGCCCTTGTGAGTGGCTTTCGTTTGAGGGGGCGTGTTAGTGGTGTGGTATATGATCCACAATTGAACCTCTCCCAACAACTCGAGTTATTGGGATCAACTGGTTCTTGACAAACACAACACGATTTTTGTCTTCAGGGAAGACATTATTGTTGGACCATTATGACTACCTTGTTATGTGTCGTATTGAGCATGAGACTGGTTTTGTGGTACATGGAAGGGACTATGTCGATAAATTGATATAGAACCGCCATGATCCTAATCTAGCTTTCATACTTGATTTATCTTATGATGTGCACACTTATGTTTATTATTAGATCTTGTGATATATAATGACACATGTGCCAAGTGGAAGAATGTAAGCCCAATTCCCGTATGTCAGTAGGGAATAATTGTGGCCCAAGTGTAATTATCACTTAATGGTTTAATATATAAGGTAAATCCTATATTGATTAGGTTAATGAAAGGTAAATTCCTAATATACCCTGATGGTGAGTCTATATAAAGAAGCCCTAGGATTGGTCCTCTCTCAACCCATTACGCAGAATTTATTAGCCATCACAGAAATCTCTAAACCTAAAACCTAAAGGCTTCAAGAGGGAGAAACGTAATTCCGGTGATTACTACTCAAGCTACTGTCGCCGCTCACGTCAAGGATCGAGGTACGTTTCCTCGATCTATTATCAATTCGTGGAATCATCTAATTCTAAGATCCATGCTATTATGATATATGTTTACAGCTGGACGAGTAAACTGTGGTTAGGTTGGGTCGTTGTTGACGTGACAATTTTTTTTGACGTGGGGGTCATTTTTTATTTAAATTTGGGTACATCATCACTTATGTTAGCCACATCAGCAAAATTCTAACAGTGTTAACTATAGGTGTCAAAACATAGCCCGACCCGATTAACCCGTCCGATCAACCGGACCCGCAACCCGAATTGACTAAAAATCAACAACCCGTAACCCGCCCGACCCGCAATCCGATTGACCCGCAACCCAACTAACCCGCAACCCGACTAACCCGCAACCCGATTAACCCGAACCCAATTGACCCGCAACCCGACTGACCCGCAACCCGATTAACCTGAACCCGATTGACCCAAACCTGACTAACCCGTAACCCGACCGACTCAACCCGAATTTCATCTAATCCACTTGAATAATTATAAAAATATACAATACATAGTTTTTCAAAATAAAGTTTTTCATTCTAAACTTAAGTAAAATTATTTTTTCATTTCGTATAAGAAATTTTAAAAATATGAAACTCACTTGATATTACGTATTTTAAGAAAATTACAAAAATTGAAACATGAAGGTCACTTGAGATCATGACAATATTAATATAATATATAAATTAAAATTTTTGTTAATTTAACTATTCAATAAAATTATCAATTAAATAAATAAAGTAAAGTAATGTATTTGGTAATTTGATGTTTTTAAAAGAAGAGGGAAATTTTGGTGTATTCAAGTTTTTGGGAAGAGAAAGAAGAGGGAAATTTGGTTCTTTGAATTTTTTAGAAAAGAAACAAGTGAGAATTTTGGTGGTTTTGATATGTGGGAAGAGAAAGAAGTGGGAAAGTTTGATTCTTTTGATTATGAAAGAGAAATAAGGAGGGAAACTTTTGTCTTTTCAACTTTTTGTAGAAGGAAAGAAGATGGTAAGTTGGTTCTTTCAATTTTATGGAAGAGAAAGAGGAGGGAAAATTGAGTTTTTCTAATGTATGGAAGGAGAAAGAAGGAGGAAAATTTTAGTATTTTTGTGAAAAAAAAGAAGAAAACAAAATTGGTGTTTTCAATTTTTTGGTTTTTCATAATTTTAGCTTTTGAAATATGAATCTTTAACTTTTATATGGAGGGCATGACTAGTTAAAATTATTCTTATATGCTTTGAAGGCTAATATGTATATATGTATGTAATTTTTTATGGGCTAATAAATAAATTAACCATTAGTTACAACAATTTATACTAGACTTGATAAGTAATCTTTGACGGTTCGTTCTTTAGGATATAAAGTATATGATTAGGGTATAAGGTATAAGGTACATATGGTTTAGGGTGTATATGGTTAGGGTATAAGATATTGATGGTTTTGACGGTTCTAAGTTTTTTATTAACATATGTTCACTTGAAGTCATTTGAAGTCTTTAACGGCAGGAGATCCCTTTTTAATTTATGTTTATGGTACGTGGTTAGGGTACAAGGTATGTGGTGTAAAGTATAGGATATATGGTTAGGGTAATAACAATTAGCAAATATCACTTTTTATCTATGTTTTGAAAATCAAAGTATGAATTTCACTTTTAAATTAACTATACTAGCAAAATCACAACTCAAGGACATATGATTAGGGTATAGGTTACGTGGTTAGTGTATAAGGAATTGATGGTTTAGGGTATACAATCAATAACATATACTAACTTAATATTGTTGATTGAGGGTAAAGCTAAGTGTATAGGATATATGCTATTGAGTAAGCTATGATTGAAGTCACAATAATTTTACTAAATTTGATAGCTAATCTTTAATGGTTCAATTTTTAGGATAATTCGAACAATTTTACAAATAACTCGTTTGGCAACAGTTTACTAAAGTTATTTGGGCAATGAGTTATTTTGAAATAACTCCTTTTATCACTATGCTTTTGCAAAATACCACACGCCAAATACCAGATTTGCATGGTTATACTAAACGAGATACTTTAATCCAATTACTACTGAATTAATACTAAAATATCAAATAAACAATTAACGGTGTCTTTTGGTTGCAAATATTGACATCACCATTACTATTAGCTATAATACTTTACCAATTATGATTAATTACATAACAAGTTTGCAAGCCATACAAATTGATTTAACATTTTGACTAGTTTTTTTCAAAAAAATAAAGTATATATATACGAGGTAGAAATAAATTGGTTAAAAAGTGGAGAAAATATTTTAAATTAGTGTAATAAAATGTGTAAGTTGGTAATGAGTTACTTGATGCGCTGGCCCGAACAACCCGAAACCCGACCCGCCCGCAACCCGCCGACCCAAAACCCGATGAACCCGCAACCCGATTTGCCCGCAACCCGATTGAATCCGAATCCGATGAACCCGCAACCCGACTAACCCGCAACCCGTTTGAACCCGAACCCGATGAACCCGAATCCGATGAACCCGCAACCCGACTAACCCGCAACCCGTTTGAACCCGAACCCGATTGAACCCAGCCCGAGCCCGTCCGAACCCGTCCGATTGACACCTATAGTGTTAACGGATACTGACGGAGACTAACGGAGAGTGACCAAACATGACATGTTTTACCAAAACTAATGACCATGAATGGAATTAAATATTTTTAGTGACCAAACATGAACGTTTTTTGTAATCCCAGTGACTAACCTTGCAATTAACCCCAAACAATGAATTTTGGATAAAGTCCATCATGATGAATCCAAATCTCTCACCAAATCCAACAAGCAAACAACAAAATCTTATGCGATACAATATTAAACATTGTGTTTTGTAACTGATGACTTAATTTCTTGTATTCATTACTTAATTATGATAACAAAAGCCAAAAGGCCTAATTAAACGATCTTAAAAAGAAAAAATGCTTAATTCTGACTATCCACAGACATGGATTCTAATACAACAGTAAACAAATAGAAAGTTACACTGCAAACTGTACACTCAACTTGTTGGTTTCCAAAGAAGATGAATTAGCACTTGGAGTTTGACTCAGAGTACACACTTTTACGTTGAAGGGTAGTTTGGTGCTTTGGAGAAATTGCGGCCAGTATTACAACTCCAGCGAGCAAAGCCAACCCCAACCCTAATCCATTAGCAACCATTGTTTCTGGAGAGCGTTTGGAGGCAGTACTGTCACTAAGCCTTCTCATTTCCCTGAAAGTGAGCTTCTCCATCAACCCTGTTTCTGCCGTTGCAACTGCAAGGGTGTAGGTGTAGAGACCAAGGAAGATGTGCCATGGCAATCTACTCGCCCGCACCGTTCGCATCTCGCCTCTATACCAAAAGCTCAGGAACCCCATCAACCACTACATGTATGCATTGAGCGAGATATGATCAGAACATTGACGAGTTCGCCTTCTGGAGTATCAACGTAGAACTGGATTAAGCTGAACAAATTCACCATGGTGTTGTGTCTAGGAGGAATTTGGCTAAAATGCGCACATGCATTCAACGACTGAGATCATGGAGCCATACGAGACAACACTCAACATGTTTAGAAAATAAGAGACCAACCACCACATTACACCCGCATTGCAGCTAGCATCTGGGCACCATGGGAATTAAAGAGGTTACAAGCAGCAAGATATCATGGTTGTTCCTCCATAACTCAAGGCAGAGTTCGAGTAGTACTTGTAACTGACCCCATAACTTGCTACTTGCTAGTATTAAATTACTAGCAATCGATTAAACCTTGATTCTTATTATATAACCTGAAGATTCCCTGGGATCATAATAGCGTTATGACCAGAAAGGCCCTCACTTCTAGAGCTAGACTCTAGCACAGACAGTACTAGTAGACTGCAGTTGAATAATAGATAGAGAGAGTGGGGTGAAGAGATGAATACCTGAGCAGCAAACAAGGAAATGCAAATCAATCCCAACCAAGAATGCAAGCTCAAGAAGTTGCCCATGATACCCTTTCGGACATGGAAGATTGTCCAAACCCCAAATACCCCACAGCTCAAAGCCACTCCTTGGAGGCCCAAATGCGCCAATTTCTTTCCGTTCCTAGAGCAGGGCAGCCATCTGTGTACCAAAATTGCTGAAACACAACCAGCAATTAAACTAATTAAGCTTAGCAAATCCCACGAACAGGCCATGGATATTATCTAAGACACTGTTGATGAAAGTACCAACCTTCTCCACTAACAAGGATGAAACCAATCACCATCAGCAGCGGATGCCGAGCCTGCAAACATCAGAAGAAACCCAAGAATGGGTGAAGAAATAAGAAATTGGAAGGCGATAAGGATTGAATTCGATCAGTTGGTTTGCAGTACGTACTGCATAAATGAGGGAGTGTTCAAAGGAGTGGCGAGAGTAGACAACAAAAGCCCAGTAGAGGAGTAAAGCTGAAACTGTGAGAGCTAATATTCTGCCAAAGAGGAGAAGTGGGAGTGAAAAGGACTGTGGTGGCGCCATTTTGAGTCGGATTTTCTTCGGTCTGCCGACACTTTGAGGTTTGAGCTGGTTACTGGAGGATGGACTCTAAAATGGAATCTTCTGACTTCCGAGTAAAGAGTAAAGACCGACAGAGAGAGAGAGAGAGGGAGGAAGACTAAACAGGAAAGTGGAAATAGAGCGCCCCTGTTTTGCTGGTCTTAACCGGTAAAGGAGAAACAGTGGAACAATAGGCCCCCTGGCCCATGGATGTGGAGCCCAAACAAATTCTTTAGGCTTTAGACAGGTGAGGTTATGTTCTATTGGAGGTTTCGGATTTTTGTTAATAGGCTAGTTTGGCCAAGTGTAATTTTTTGCCCGTTTTTCAAATAAGACATTTATGGTGAATTCGTTTCTCAAATAGTTTTGGCCGCGTTTTTCTGAATCCGCATAACTTTTTGAGATCTTGCAAATTGCAGCCTTCGTCTCGAAAAAATGTAATTTGCTACTCCGAACGAGCCTTTTTTTTATTTCGTCAAACTTTGGGTGGCCATAACTTTGTGCTCCAAAATCCGAACGTCGTGAATTTTTTTCATTTTGCATAACTTTTTAAGATCTACAAGTTTTACTAGGATGAAATTTCAAAATAGGAATTAGTTTTGGATATACGGGACCTTGAGAATAACTTTACCTTTACTTTTCACAAATCCATGTACATTTCAAAATTATGGTTAATTTAAAAGTTGTATTAATTGAAAAGTTATGCGGAATCCAAAAAAAAATTATGACATTCGGATTTTGAAGCACAAAGTTATGGTCGTCCAAAGTTATTGAGGATTTTTAGCGTTCAAGGATTAAAACTTTGTTGATATATAATTGTTTCAAAAGAGGAGTTGTAGTGTGGTGGTTTAGATGTTGGGCTGAATTTAGTTAACTATTTAATGAATCTGGGTTCGATGGTGATTTGGACCTCTTGTACACAAGGAAACAACTAAACCAATTGTGCCAAGACCACTTATGAGATTTATGTGGATTAAAAATATATATATACTGAAAACCGCCGGGTGGCGGTGCGGTTTTCAACAAAACCGTCCCGGCCCCATCCGGTTCATAAAACCGCCCCAGACCCGTGCGTTTTTCATCGAAAACCGCGCCCCCACCTAGCGGTTTTCGAGAAAGGGTGGTATTTTTGGAATTTTTCGTACATGGGTGGTAGTTTTGTAATTTTTTTTAAACAGTGGTACTTTTGGATTTTTTCCCATTTTGAATTGACCGTCAAAATTGATGGTCAACTATTTTCTCCGTAAGTTACATCGCATCCACTACTGACTAGGACATCCACATCATTTAAGAAATAAGAACTAAAAAATAAAAAATAGAAAAAGGGATGGTCGAACGAAACCCTTCTGTCATCTTCTTCCTATTCTAACTTCCACCTCCACCCATTGTCGAAATCCGTCCCCCCAATTTCCTTCCCCATCCTACATCCCTAGCTGCCTCTCGTCGTCGCCATCCCTGGCTTTCCTTCCGCCCCACACCTTTTCCCTCTTTCACTCTGCTCCAGATCTGGGTCGGGGATCTGAATCGTTGCGATTTCACAGCGGGATTGTGTTCTTCAAGAGAGAGACTGTAGCATTCCGAACCTTTTCCCGACGAAGATATTGTCCACTTTGGGCCTTGACCCTCACGGTTTTTGACTTGGGGTGCAATTCAAGGTGATTTCCCATAAGGCCACCCATCATTGTTGTACTCCACACTGAGCACGTTTAACTTCGGAGTTCTCACAAGAACTCCTCCATTTCACACCAAAACGTGTCTTGTCAGTTAAGGCCGGTTTCCTAATTATGAACCATGGATCTATCCCGTGCTTTGTCGATGTGGGATTTGCCTAAAGTGTTACAGAGACCACAATTGACGAAAATCAGCTTTGAAAACCGAAGAACCCAAACCCAAAATTTCAGTTTTGGGAAATCGTTTGGAGACACGACCATTGACAGTTGCTTCTTTCGGGGAGAGACGACCATTGGCATACTCACGCTCGTCGGATGCGCGTTCGTCTCACCGCCGCACCACCACCGCCACCAGCGCTCCCCGTCGCGTTCGCCTCCTTGCACTCTCCTTAATTATAGTTAGGGGTAAATTTGTAAGTTCAACTTATAACTTAAATATCTTCTTACGAGAAAAAAATGTCATTACAAAGACTTGAACTCGAGTCCTTTAGATTGATAGTCAATATCTGTAACCAACTAGACTACAACAATGTTTATGTATTTTTTGAATTAAAGAGACAAAATACTGAAATATCTCAAAATCATAGGACTATCCACCGCAACAATCAATCATCGAATTAATTAATAACTGTAATTATTTACAAAGTGAATCATCATGATATACCTAGCTTTAAGAATCAACTAAGTGAGTTACTCTAATCACACAATTCTTCATCAAGAATCAAATAGGACATTTTGAGTTTATATATGTCTTACAACTTTTACATTTATTAGGTTACATGACTTTGTAGTTTGTAGGAATACAAGGATTGTTTACAAAAGTGTTATACAAAATTTTATTTCAAAACATAAAATTTGACATTTGTGATTTATGATTTTGTAACAAGACATTTTCAATGCTACAAGTGAATGACCAAAAATCATTGGCTAACAATTTTTCTAATGGTTGACAATTATAAGCATAGAATTGAAACACTAAATATCATTGACAAATGAGCCAATTATCATTGGCTAAATATAACAAACAATGGTATGTGTATATACATTGGAAATTCTATGGTACGCTCGATGGATTGAGGATTATTGCAACTCCTTAGTTAAATAATATTATCTAGACCATAGATAAATCACGTAACTAAACCCTATATCATAATTCTCTAAATCCTAATATAGTGCATATGGTATGTTGTATACATCTTGGTGAATCAGAATCATTGATTATGTTCTTAGTATATGTGATATTAGGGTTTAAGGTCTATAGATTTAGGGTATATGACTTAATTATTTGAAACTTCATCTCCCTTTTCAAATTTCCTGCAATGAGAGGGAAATTAGGAAGGACATTTTGTCTTCACAATTATCTATATTTTTTTATTTATTTACAGAAATAGATAGACATATTGAGATTTGAACCATGGTCACTTCAAACAAAGTGAAGGTTTAAAATTAGTCAGACTATGTAGATTTGTTGTATTTTTTTAGATTAAAAATATATACGAAGCTAAAATATGAAATCACAGAACTTTTCAACAGTTAGCTAGCCCAATAAATATTCCGTAAGTATTTATTTGGTGTTTTGATACTTCAATTTTGATACTTTTTATTTTAATTAGCGCTAATACCACTGGAAAACCCGAACTATTAACTTTGTGCCATTTGTGTCCTAAATTATGCGATATGACATTTGTGTCACAACGTATGATAGTTGTGTGTCATTTATGTCCTAACGATTTCATTGATCGTTATAGATAACGGTTGACCAAACGGAAGTCAACATTAATATTGACTTTTGTTGACGTGGCAGCCACGTAGATGCCACGTCAATGACACCTCATATTTTTAATTAAAAATTAAATAAAAAATAATAGAGTATTATATAAAGTAAAAAAGAAACCCTCATAAGCTTTCCTCTTCTTCTTCTAATCAAATTCCGCCGAGGAAGAAGGGAACGGCGGCGACACTCTCGTCTTCCTCTCTGCCACTCTCACCGGCTTGACAGTTCGAAGCAGGGGCTAGTCGTGATGGAAAGACGAAGTGGCGGCATTCTCGTCTTCCTCTCCGCCACTCCCAATTGCAAACCCCCAATTCTTCCAATACCACGACTCCACCGCCGCCCTCGCCTCCTCGACTCCACCGCCGCCCACGACTCCATCCTCTGCCGTCCCTTTCCTTCCCTTCCCTTCTCTTCCCACCGACCTTAATCATCTACTCCCAGAATCTATTCTAGAAAAAAAAAATATCTTGATTCAAGATTTATCGAGCTAGAAACAGTCCAACCCGTTCTGCGGGCTACTTTCGATGGCGGCATCAGAATCGATCTCTCAGATCTTATCATTGTCGAAAGCGTTCGTCGTTCGTCTCGGCAAATTAATCGAGAACTTCTCTCAAACGCGAATTTGGGGATAAAACAGGTCGGCCTCTCAAACGAACTTCTACCCCTTGTTTCATGCGATCGTCGCCGGTTTGAGAAATCACAGTTAGATAAAGTGTTGGCGTTGTCTTTGGTGCCTGAGTCCTAGATCTAGATTTTCGACAGTGCTCGAAAACCTTAAACACACTTCACCGGAAAGGCTTGCTCTGGGTAGCGATCTCAGAGCTCACCCTACAAACTCAGCAGCGGCGGCGGGTGGATGGTCGACTATCGTGGTTTAAGGGAAGGCGTCTACTCTTGAGTGAATTCGCCTGTAGCAAGTGGACGATCGACTACTTCTTCCGGTGAATCGACATTGAAGTACAAGCTTCCGCTCTGATTTCCCCTATCTAATTCTCTCTTTCTCTCTCTTTCGGCGGAATACAGAAGAGTTACGGGGAAAAGGTGAAGAGGAAAGTGAACGAGAAGTGTCGGAATCATTGCATCCCTTAGCTTCGTTGGATCCGCCATGGAAGTGGAGCTTGGAGATGAATCGGAGAGAGGAGTACAGGGAGACGCAAAATCCAATTTGGGAAAGTGAACGAAATTTCCACTTTTTTAAATTTTCTTTTAATTTCCATTTTTGTTATTTTTTCCTTTTAATTTCCACGTTAGATGCCACATCAGCGCTGATTAGACTTTCAGTTTAAAACTAACGGTCAAAGCCAGTCAACCATAACGGAAAAGTAGTTTGGGACACAATTTTCATATCGAATACTTTAGGACACAAATGACACAAAGTTAATAGTTCGGGTTTCCTAGTGGTATTAGCCCTTTTAATTATAGTTTAATACTTAATTTAAAATGTAATCTATCTTATAAATAGACGATAACCATAAATTTGCAACCAAAATATTGTTGGTTCGAATATTTCATATCGAATTATAGTATTGAATACGTAGAAGCGATATAGAATTCTTAAATTATCATTAATTTCCAGAACTATAGTGAAGGAATCATATCTTTGTGCAAACTGTAGGGGACTGGTTCTCTGAACACTTTTGTCCGGTTAAATACTAAGTTTTGAAACTCTTCCTAAGGGTGTACGTGGGTCGGTTCGTTTGGGTTTAGATATTTTAATCACCTAACTCATATACCACGATTTTGAAAACACTAAATATAAACTCACCCAAATTATTTAAATTTAACGCTTTGTGT